TGAAAGCCAACTCCTCTACGTCACCGAAAGACCCAAGCTACTGATAGGCCAAGACAATTGGGGACTAATAGTAACAAGAAAGCTGAAGAAGGGCAAACCGTCAGATCCTGTAGCCTCCCTCACAAACTTAGGGTGGGTGTTACACGGATGTGAAACAGGAGCAACTGCCACAGTAAACTTCACTCATTATGGCAGAGCGACCACTGGCGAAGAAAACATAGAAAAAATCGTCCGAGAACACTTTCAGTTGGAATCTCTCGGGATCCAGAATCGGTCGCCAACCAACGACACCGATAGAAGAGCATTAGAAACCCTTGAGAAGACTACAAAGAAACTGTCAATCGGTCAATAAGAAACGGGACTCCTGTGGAAAAAGGAAGACGAAACCCTACCCAACAATTATAATCAAGCATTCCGACGCCTGGTCAACATCGAGAAGAAACTAGATCAAGACCAAGAAGCAAGAAAGCACTACGAGGAGCAGATCCTGAGTCTAATTGAGAAGGGATACGCAGAGATAGCTCCAGAAACCTCCAACAAAGGAAGAACATTCTACTTACCCCACTTCGCTGTTGTGCACCCAGTTAAGAAGAAGCTGAGAATAGTGTTCGACGCAGCTGCCAAGTATGAAGGGAAGAGCCTCAACGACGCCTTGCTCTCGGGCCCAGACTTGTTACAGTCACTATTTGGATTACTGTTGCGCTTCAGAGAGGGACAAGTGGCCGTCATGGCCGACATACAAGATATGTTCCTCCGAGTCAAAGTTAGAGAGGACGACCGAGACAGTCTCAGGTTCCTGTGGCGCGGAAGCCAAAGAACTGGCAAGCCTGAAGAGTATAGAATGTCTTCAATCATTCTTGGGGCAGCGTCATCACTGGCAACAGCGATATACGTAATGAATAAGAACGCATAAGAATTTAAGAACACTCATCCCGAAGCAGCGAAAGCAATTAAAAGAAACCATTACATGGACGACTATCTACAGAGCTTCGCGTCTACAACTGAAGCAAAGAAGATATCCAAAGAAGTGAAAGATATTCACTCAGGAGCAAATATTCATCTGAAGGGTTGGGCCAGTAACAATTCAGGGGTACTATCAGAAGTAGAAGACACCAATAAAGAAAACTCTTTACAACTGACAAAGGAAGAAAAGACTCTGAGGCTAAGATGGCTTGTAAAAGAAGACGCATTAGCTTTCAACGTCGGGCTACGCAACGATCTACAAGATGGCAGAAGAACTCCAACAAAGAGAGAAGTCACAAGCGCAGTGATGTCCACCTTCGATCCAATGGGTTTTGCAACACCGGTCCTAATACAGGGAAAGAAACTAATCCAAGATATCTGGCGAAAGGAAATAGACTGGGATGAACCAATTAGCGAACAACAAAAGGAAGCCTGGATGAAATACTTAGAAGAAATAACAACATTAGCAAGGTTGAAGATCCCAAGATGCGTCTCACCCAAAGACAGAAAAGGACAGCTACATACATTCACCGATGCGAGTGAGAAAGCCTACGCAGCAGTAGTCTACAGGAGAATAGTCGAGGAAGGAGGAAAAGTTCATGTCTCCATGATCGCCGGCAAAGCAAGGGTAACACCGACGAAACCAGTATCAATTCCGAGGCTAGAGCTACAAGCGGCTTTACTCGGAAGCAGACTAGCCACCACAATTGAAGAGGAGTCAGAGCTCGAAATATCGAAAAAGATTTACTGGACCGACTCCAGCACAGTACTGCAGTGGATAAAGTCGGAACCAAGAAAATTCAAAACTTTCGTGGCCAACCGACTTGCAGAGATTGAAGAGAAGTCCAAGCCAGAAGACTGGAGATGGGTACCAACTAAGAAGAATCCAGCAGACGACGCCACGAGGGGAACCCCAATCGAATTCGACCACAACGCCAGATGGTTCAAAGGCCCTTTACATTTCTCCGTCAACCAGAAGAAGAATGGCCGTTTCACGACTTCAAACCAGAGAGTATTATGCCAGAAGAAAAGCACAAACAAAAGGTGTTGGCAACAATGGCAGCAGAAGACATCCTTTTGAATCCGGAAAGGTTCTCGAGCTTGGAGCGACTGCTGCGCACTACAGCCAGAGTGGTTCCCTTTGCACACTACCTAAGGATGCCTTGGAAACCACAACACAAAACCCAGAAGAAAGAAGTACACGCCTCAAACCCATCAGCCAACAAAAATGAAAATAAGCGGCTATATCTACCCCTATAAGAAGAACTCTTAAAGAAGACCGAAGAGTTATTAATGAAGATAAGCCAAAACGACAGTTTCGCGTCAGACATAAGAAAATTGAAGGCAGAAAAACCGCTAGAAAACTCAAGTCGACTCAAGAAAATCGACGTTTACGTTGGAGACGATGGAATTATCAATTTAAGAAGTAGGACAATGAAATTCCACGACCAAAACGAAAGAAGAATGAATCCTATCGTTTAAGATGGGAAACAAAAGATAACCCGTCTAATAATACAATACTATCATAAGAAATTCCTTCACGGAAACACCGCTACAGTAATGAACGAGATTCGTCCAAAGTTCTGGATCCTAGGCTTAATAGCGACTCTAAAGGCCGTCGCACACAGCTGTCAATGGTGCAAGACAAAGAAGAGTTCACCAGAGATACCCCCGACGGGAGACATACCGAGCGAGAGACTACAGCATCATCAGTTTCCGTTCTCCTGCACGGCCATAGACTACTTCGGGCCGATGCAAGTCACCATCGGAAGAAGAATTGAGAAGCGCTGGGGAGCTTTATACACTTGCCTCACTACTAGAGCAGTACATCCGGAGCTAGTACCTTCTCTCAGCACTAGCTCAATGATCATGGCTCTCCGACGAATGGCAGCCAGAAGAGGGACCCCGAAAACTATATTCAGCGACAACGGAACCAACTTCGTCGAAGCCAAAAGGGGAACTCGAAGAGGCCGCACAAAAAAAAGTGGAAGTTTATTCCGCCGGGAGCTCCAAATATGGGAGGCGCCTGGGAGCAGACTTGTACGGACAGTCAAGACGGCGCTAGCAGTAGTCCTCAACGAGAGAAGCCCGCCCGAAGATGTACTCCATACACTAATGACCGAGGTTGAACACATCGTCGATTCGAGACCCCTCACCCCGATCAGCATGGACCCAGAAGACGAAGAGAGCCTAACACCGAACCACTTTCTGCTGGGAAGATCATGCGGAGCGATGGCGCCGGGAGAATTCAGTGATACGGAGCTGATCGGTAAGGTAAATTGGAGGACCACTCAAAGACTCTCAGACCATTTCTGGAAAAGATGGATCAAAGAATATTTACCTCTCCTGATGCCTAGAAAACTTGAAAAGAGCGAAACCAAAGACCCAAGAGAAGGAGACATTGTGCTGATAGTGGACGCTACGTTACCACGAAACTCATGGCCTCGCGGAGAAGTTATCAAGACCTATCCCAGACCAGACGGAAGAACCAGAGTGCTGGACGTGTGGACATCAGGAGGAATACTTCGCCGCCCAACTCGACGTGTCATCGTGCTGGTACCAGCGGAATCGTCGCCTCCGGAAGATGAAGTGCTACGCACCATGGGGGAGAATGTTAGCGACGACAAGTGAATTTAATTATTTAATTTCAATTTATTTGTATTTGTGATCTAAAACTACGTAAAGACTGATAATGTTAATAACAAAAAAAGTTAATTAATTACTTATACTTCAATTCTTATTTGCAATCTAAAATAACGTAACGAAAGTTAGTAACGAAAGTCAGTAACGAAATGTGAGTCTAATTACTTATTTGAGTTTAATTAGAATATTAGAAACGAAATATGAATCTAGTTACTTATTGGAACTTACTGTTCTTATAATCTAAAGAACTACATTAGAAACATTAGCATCTAAGTGTGAATTTAATTACTTGTCTAATTCTTTTTCTTTTTAATGTAATTTAAAACTACAACAATACGTCAATTAACCAATTGTATAATCTCGTTTCTTATTGTAAAAATAGATTTAGTTCAATAAGAAGTTCAAATGTATTCTGCAATAGTTTCTTAAGATTAAGCGTAATGTTGTTATCACGATAAGCATTGTGCATTCCTGCCGCCTGGCGGCGCTACGTGTATGTTATGCGGAAAAAAGCTCAGCTACTATAGAGCTATACCGTAGGAAGATCGCTCCGCTATTTTTATTTATTAAAGAGTTAAATTAAGGGTTTTATGAATGATTAATGTTTGAAATAATAAAGATAAGCTATTTCTATTACCAGGAATGCATAAAAACATTGTAAGGGATGTTTTACCACAAAAATAAAAGAAATTTGTAAGTTTCTCTTAGAAGAGGTTGCTCTGCGCTCTGATTGGTCGATGGAAATCATTAGTGCCGTGTGCAAATTCGTTAGCGCCGTGTGCACAATTTAACCATTTTGATTGGTCGAAATTAACTATAAAAAGAGGCGTTTTTTGTGGTTAAACATTCCAAATCCGGCAATGTAAGAAAAACTCAGAAGAAGTGTTATTTATTGCTCATCTAACTGCTACTGCATGCTCTCCAGTTAACATCCCGCTAGCATAACCCGCTCCATTACTAATATTCTCACACACGAGCAACAACATTGGTCCTTCGAAAAGCCGGATCGGGTTTAAGGAAAAACTAGGAAGATGCCTTCAAATACAAGATCAAAATCAGTGTAGTCGAAGGCTACGAGTGAAAGTAACGCTACTATGGGTACCAGTACGACGGATTGGAGTATGAATACGCCGAGTGAACCTACAAGCACGACGACTACGAACGCGTCAACATCAAGAAAATATATAGAAGAAAAACTCTGAAGAAGTGTTATTTATTGCTCATCTAACTGCTACTGCATGCTCTCCAGTTAACATCCCGCCAGCATAAACCGCTCCATTACTAACATTCTCACACACTAGCAACAACAATATATATATATATATATATATATATATATATTTTATTTTTTTATAAAGAAGATTAAAATTGTTGATATATAGATTTTAACTTACCACATTCCAAATGGTGATGAACACACACAGTAAAGAATATAATGTTTCTAGCTCAGGATCCTTCACAGTAATGTTTCGAACCACGAAAAACGTCATAATTCCATTGCTTCCATGTAAAACAAGTGCAGCGAAGTAGCCAAAAAGTCGGTAGTAGGCGTGATTATTGATAGTTCTGAAAATATAAAAGCATTTATATAAAACGGGAATGAATAGGATTGACAAAGTTCCACAATCGGAGTGTTAGGTATGGCAGTGTATAAGATAGAGAAGAGAAGAAATAGTCGTGGAAATATCGTTTTGAATTTGGAGGAGTTATATTGTTTAATTAGGAATAATAATATATTCATTGAAATTTAATGATATATGACTTTAAATAAATTTGTCGGTATTCATTAACGGTCATTATTTTTTATATAGAATGTGGCGGGAATAGTGGTTCACCGTTAAGGATTCGATAAAACAAATAATTTACTATAACATGTTATAATTTTAACCATTATTACATGAGGCTTCCCGCATTTTGGGTATTTTTTTACGAAGTTTCTATCTTTTGTTACCATTTTTGCTGTAGTTTTATCAAAAGCCATTATTTTTCATTTTCATTTCTGTTAATTACTGCTAAATACTAGAACATTCAGTAAAGATATTGATTTTCATATAATTTTAGAGATTTTGAGAAGACTATAAGTTCTTCTCAATTGTAATATAACATTTTACATATCATGAAAATTCGATAGTGCGATTTCTGTAAAAAATTGTACCACACTCATTTCCCATTCATTTCAAAACATGCCTACTTATTATCAATTTCAAAATGGTATCACAATAACGGGTTTTATTGTTTAACAGAAATGTATCCAATTTTAATTAAAGAGAAAATTTTCATTGAAATACTTTTTTAAAAGTTAGTTAATATTGTTACAAACGTATTAAATTCTATAAAACTATCAGTGCCTGTTCGCTAAAAACTATGCCTACTAAACACCGATTTTAAAATGTTTTGTTATTATTAGGTCTCATTATTTTATTGTAATTTTAATTGAAAACGAATTAAAATAAAATAACTTTTTTTGTAACTAATGTTGCGGAGATGCTTAGAACCAACTAGTTTCTTTATTGAAAAAACATTTAAAAAAACAAGTAATACTTTTCATATTAGATTATCTGTTTTATCGAATCCTTAACAGTGAATGACTATTTACACCACAGCCCCTATATAGATTAAATAATTTTAATAATATTAATTTTGATATATTAAGTTAATTTCATTAATTATTATTTCATAAGAATTTATGTTTATTTATTTTTGTATTTTTTTTAAACCAATCAGAAGCCAGAGGTTCATGGCCTGATTAATGTTACCAATAAAAGCAAGGGGTTGCTGGTAAAGTGCCTCGAGTGGAGTGATGCAACTGGCTGGAAAAGACAAAATAGGAGCAAATGAATGACAATATCGTGGTGGCGTCGGGGTTAGATTTCGTAGTATATTCATACTATTAATATCATTATTTTATAGTGTGTAGTATGTAATTTGCTTAACCTATATCATAACATGGTCCATTAACAGTGTTAAATATCATGAAATGACAACATTTTAAGAAATGATATACTACTTTGTGATATGATTAGTTTTAAAATTAAATAATTAAAAAACTAAAAAATAAACGTAAGGAATTTTTAAAATTTTCAAAACCTCATTATTTAAACATAAAAATGTTAGTTATCTAAATTATTTAATTTATTAGTAACTGATGCAAAATATAGGTACAACTATTTGCATTTGATGGTAGATGGCGCCGTGTTGAAAACTAAAACGTACATTGTCAGCGTAGTATCAAATTATTTTACAAAGGTTAAACTCAGGGGCGTAGCTACTGCCGTATCAGCCGTATCAATGATACGGGGCCTCCGAGCTACAGGGCCCCCCAATGCGTATAATCAAAAATTCGTAAAATGTTATCCACAAATCCAATTGAACTCTTAGGCCGTACTTCCCGAAAAAATAATCATATCATCAAATAGTTCCCAACGTGCCTAAAGAAGACCTGTCAGAAATTGTCCAATTTTCTGTAGTTTTTCGATACATCTCGATAACAGAAAATTATGATAATGTATTTAAAGAAATAATAATCTTTATTGATAAACATATTACAAGCACAAAATTTACGTCGGTTATTAGACCCTAAGTTGAAAACTTCTACCCACTTTCAGGGGCTAAATTAATAGTTGCGTAGACGGGGTGCATATTCGGAATTCATATATATTTTTTTTTTCGATTTTCTCCCTCTGCTGTGTACAGTCATTTATAGAAATATGATAAAAAACTGACCCTTGGAATTTTATTGATAATGTGACTAAAAGGTACTTTGTCGACATTATCAATAAAAATTTATACATATTTTTTGTTTGAAAGGTCAACTCCAAAATAAAAGAAGTACCTCACAGAATTATAAATTCATTGAAATCTTGGCATAAAATAATTTAAAATGAAGACAAACATTCATTACTTACGTTATAACCAACGTTTCGTTGTAACGGCTGTAACGGTGACAGTAACGGCAATACGTAATATGTTTTTGATTACATTTTTGGTTATAAAATATTAATTTTTACTTGCTTCGGCAGTACATATACTAAAATTGGAACGATACAGAGAAGATTAGCATGGCCCCTGCGCAAGGATGACACGCAAAATCGTGAAGCGTTCCACATTTTTAAAACAATCCCTCGACCAGTTAATATCAATTCCCTCTTAACTATCCCCGATTCCATATATGTCAATACAATCTCAAAATATATTCGAATGTATAATATTAAAGTATAATTATTGTGTACTAAATTTAGCTTAACCTAATTCTATATTCCCTGCCCAGGCTATTACCCTCCTTTAACTAGATTTTTACTCTATATTGTGTGGTCCTCAATTCATATATTTAGTTGCTTTGTTTTTATCCACATTCTCATCTAATAACCACTAATTCCTTTTCCACCGGAGAGCCTCAAGACAAGGTGTGACAGACCGAAGACCGGACATTGGCAGAATTATTGTGACATTATCACAATACCAAGGGCCATATATGTAGTTATTTAAAAAAAAATAATTAATAATTAAAGTGTATGTATTAAACTGTACTTGGGGTAAAAAGTCGGAAGAAAAAATAATAGTGAACTCCGATTATTAACCTCCGTCTGGGATGGATAGATGAACACGCGTTTGCAAGAAACCACTCTAGGGTGGATTTTTTAGGGTGGACAAACGGAACAACCCAAAAAATATACTTTTTTAAGCAATAGTATATAAGTGCTTGTTAATTCTGAGTAACGACTAACGATTCATCTAAAAATATAAAATTACCCTTAAAAAGGTGTCCTAGGTCTACAAGAAACGACGCCTTATCAGCTATGAGGAAAAATTATTTTTTTAATGACTTATATTAATAATGAAAACATTGTAACAACTAAATTTAATTTCCACTAAAAAGACAAACCTTTTTTCTTCACTATTTGAAATTTCAATTCAATTTTAATTCAATTGTTTTTCTGTCTGCCAAAATTAGTGAATCCAACGAAGAAATTCGACACATTTTGAAGTTTTATTACAAAAAAGGAAGCAGCTCGCTCTGGTCATCTTCATACCAATAAAGTCGATGCCTTTTTTGAAAAAGTGGTGGAGTAGTTCTTTACAACATAGCCGAAGAATTGAAGACTGATCAGTTTTGATCAGAAAGTTTGGCTATACAAAAAAGTTCGATATTTAGGTATCACACGAGCTCACTGAAAGAAACCTAAGGAATCGTGTACTCATTTGCGATTCTCTATTGAAAAGTAATAAAACTGAACCATTTTTGCAAAGCTTAATCACTGACGATGTGAGTGGATTACCTGCGACAAAATCGTACGTAAAAGATCATAGTCAAACGGTAGTCTAGTTCACAGACGTTATGATAAGAAGGGCATCGTTTATTATGAGCTTTTATAGCTTTACAAAACCATTGATTTGGATCTCTACTACCAACAACTTGTTAGAATCAAGCAAGAAATCGAGAAAAAACAGCCAGAATAAATCATCAGAAAAGGAGTGGTCTTTCATCATGATAACACCAGACCACACAATCTTTAGCCACTCAGCAAACATTGAGAACGCTTGGTTTGGAAGTGTTTATGCATCCACCATATAACTCGAGCTGAAAGGTTTCGTGATTGTGTATTACAGCACGTGGGGGACGGAACATTGACTTCATTAGACGAGACCTCTCCAACTTAACGTTTAGGTTCGTGTGCCTCTAACTATTCGGTGATCGCTGCCAGTTTTCAGCCTTGTGATCATTAACAGTTGCCGTCTAGTCGTCAAAATGAAGTTAATCTCATTTTTTGTCGAACCATCGGGCTCGACCAGGTCCACTTTTTGTAGATCCCCTTTTGGAAGAAAGAGTTCATCATAAAGAGTCCCTCTTTCTCCATGAAGTTGGCACCTTGGGTTCCGTTGCCCTATCCCGAATTTCCCTACCTCCAGCCCACCGTTCTTTCTTGTGCCTAGTTTTGCGCTGAAGTCTCCCATTAACACCGTATACTGAGTTTTGGAGAAATGCATGACTCTAGAAATGTTCTCATACATTTCCTCCACCTCCTCATCGGGATGTTCCGACGTTGGTGCGTAAACCTGTATGACCTTCAGCGAATACCGTTTGGTGATTCTGAGTATCAGGTACGCGTAATCCTCGTCGATAAACTCTTCTCGTTGTTAACGAGAGACTTGTGGACGATAAATCCAAGACCTCCTTGGGACAGATAGTCGCCCTCCCAATGATAGAACAAGTTGCCGGATTCGAGAATCACCGCGTCCTCCCCTTCTCTTCGGACCTCGGATAATCCTATAATATTCCAGAGCAACTTGTCTATCTCTTCTTCCAGCTCTTTCACAACTTCTCGTTGGTCCTCAAGGTGCGTGCGTTATATGTTGCCAGGTCGTGTCGTCGTAGGTGGAAACCGAACCTCCATCGGAGGTTCTTAGCACCCCTGCACCGCCGTTACAATGGTCGCTACCGTAGCCAGGAATAGTGAGGCCGCCGGGGACTGGGCTGCCGTCTATTTGTGTAATTGTTCATGGAGGGTATATTGCCATAGTTGCCACGCTTGGTGAGCGGGTAGGTAACCGCAGTTTTTTCCTGCCTGTTTCCCTCTGTCGCCTTTTACGACACCCACGGGACGATATGGGGTAGTGGATGTTCTTAACCGCCACTACACTAAAATAATCCATAGTGAATGCAGATCCTGAAACATACTCTAAGCGCGCGGTTTCTCAATAACCAATCACAGCGCGAGGAGCTTACCCCCATCAGCTGCCGGCATACCTCGATAAACTATCTTCCTCGCACCTATGGCTACGCATAAGACTTTTATGTCGTATTCATTTGTAAACTTAATTCACGCCTGGGAATTGTTTAAAACCGCTTAATTCCTCCGGCGATTTGCAGATATTATTAAAATTACTCAATAAATACGGTATTAAAATTTGATATTGCCAAAATTGCGAATTTTAATAAAATATTTTTGGAGGCCTGTTAATACTTTATAACCGAGAGAAACGTCTGTGATTTTTTGAATTATATAAAAAACTAAATTAATAGATTAAAAAAATTAAGTTGCCAAAAATACTTTTTTGGATTTTTGGCAAACATTTTAAGCTGTGCAGTAACGAAATAGCCGCAAACGCTCTCCCAGACTCGTGGGACTGGATTCGCCAATTGATGAAATTATATTTTTTAACTACTAAAAAAGTAAAGCGTAAGTAGCGTTATACGTCCGGAGTACGAGCTCAGACCTCCTCCTATTTCTGCGAGGGCTTAACGCAACGCCGGATTTAACATATTCGTGCTCTAGGTTTTTATAGCAAACGGTACCCTCGTTTTTTAGTTTATATTGTTTTTTTTTTGACTATCAACTTGCATAGTTACAAATGAAAATACTTATAATATGAAATATAAGAAAAACATTGCGAATATTGCTATCATATACATATTTATTAGAGATGCATTAGGCATTACTCGGCAATTTTATTACTCTTCGAATAGCGAGTAATAGTGTTCATTATTCGATATTCAGCGAATAGTTGTCTAAATAAAATAAACTTATATTAAATGGACAGAATATATATATATATATATATATATATATATATATATATATATATATATATATATATATATATATATATATATATATATATATATATATATATATATATATATATAGACAAAATAATTACTTGTATTTATCTTTCAAACAAAACACACTTAGTATTAATTATATAATCATCATTAAAAATATATATTGTTAAGTTAGCAAAATCAGTCACGTTGATGTTAATAAGGCGTTTTAATTAATATTAAAAGTCTAAAAGAGGTAGATTGTGGTGGCGAAAAACTAATTTTTCTGCAATGAATTTTTTTTTGTAAACCAAACCTGCCTCAGAAAATAATCTTTCTGAATAAACCGAGCTTGCTGGTTTGACTTAGTATAGTTCAGCAAGCTTACTTAAAATTGGGAATCGATTGTTATTGGTACTCAAAAACCACCATTCATATGGGTTTAAGCTTCTGTCACCCTTTGCGACCTGATGTAGTAGGCAATTTCACCGGCAATGGTATTATTGGGTTATTTCATTTCGCCATTTTATTCACAAAATGAGGTTATTCCCCGTAAAATATGTTACGTACAACAAAAGGATTGCCTTGATAATAGTCATAATCTTAGATTTTTTTAAATTACAGTAACGTATAAATGATAGGTAATTTCAAGAGACTATTACAAGTGTAATATTATTATTTGATACCCAATAAATTATTTTGTATATTTTTTTTTGTCGAATAATTATAGCGAGTATTCGACTATTCGCCATGAGGAATGGCGAGTAATCAGTATTCGACTATTCGCCATAATAATTAGGTATTGTGTATTTTTCCATTTAGAATTATGTTTCACAGTTAAACAAATCTCAATCCATAATGATTTTTTATATACAATACGTACGAATAGTATATACACATTACATTAAACTAATGTTACGGACTTGGCCGCATTTAATCAAGGGTTTGTTACGGATTTTATGGCGTTTAATTTCATTTTTAAATTAAATTAAGTGCCATAAAATCTGTAAAATTAGTTTCATTTCAAATCTAAATACATTTAGAGCAATTATAAAAGCGCGAGATTAATTTCTGATTAATTCTTGATTAGTAACATGTATTTATTTCTATAATAAAATATATAATTTTTTATCAGAAGTTTAATAACTGACGCTGTCACTGCGATGGTACAAGCATGTGCCTAGAGAGTCCTATTATAAATCCCTCACTGGTTTTAGGGAATTTCTCACTTAATGTTTTTCACATAGCTTCAAAACATTTTTTTCAGACATGCAGGTTTTATTTATGATGTTTTCATTCATCGTCGAGTATGTGGTAAATCAGTATTTAAAATTGCAATTAATAATTTCATTAGTACCCGCGGGGATCGAACCCGGTTTTGCTCGCGTACAGTGAAATTTACGGCGAGTGCTTCTTTTGTAGTTAATTAAGTAACTTACTTCATATTCGACATATAAATCTTCTCTAGGATAAGCTACAATATGGCAGATAGTAGTTTAACTTCATCCAGTTGATGCATATGTGGAATCTAGATAGCCTGAAATAAAATTGAGACTAGTTAATTTTATAGAAATAAGTAATAATATAGTGTTGTCTATGGGCCACGGCGTCCATTTACCACCATTGTGTGCTTGCACATGGAAATTGTATATAAATATAGAATATGCAATGTAATAATATACAAAAGAATGTATAAGAGAGTATTAGAATTTAAATGTGGAGGTATAATGTAGGTAGAATAATAATTTTGTAATATTTCGTCATTGTGAATTGTAACAGTCACCGCAGACTCTCATCAAAGGCTTAAGAAGTACGAAGTATTTGCTTTCCTATCTTAATACGCTCAGATTCGACAGTAATCTTCTGGTCTACCTGACTCACAGATGGGCGGAAGGAGTAGAGTCCAAGGGGGAGGCATTGCCCGTTAGTTTGGACATACAAGGCCTTTGATCGGGTTTGCCGCAAAACGCATCTATCGAAGATTCTTTCCTATTGGCTTCCCGAATTCTGCAATTGTGTCACCAGTTTCAATGCTGATCGGACCATCAAGGTTGTAGTAGATATTCCGATGATAAGCCTATGTATGTAGGTATACTACAAGGCTGCGTGCTCACACCTACGCTGTTCTTTCTGCATATCAATGATATTTTGAAAAATTTATGGCTATGCAAACGACAGCACATGTAACACAGGCGTTTTAAACCGGCCGTGTCAAGTAACAAGGAATTACGTCAACAAGTACCGGAATAAACTTCCGTCTGAAGTCGAATCTCTGCTAAACGAAGTCTCGGATTAGTGACGACTAAATCTAGTTCAGTTTAACTCTCAGAAGACACAGGCTTGCGCGTTTGCCACTAAAAAGACCCCTTTATCTTATCTCTTCAATTTAGAGGAACTTTCCCAGCTGCCTCAGCTAGAATCCTTGGTGTTGACATAAGAAATGATGTGCATTTTCGTGGTCATTTGGAAAGGAAGGACGTGTTCAGCAGAGTGGGACAGTATTTCATGCCGGCAGCTTGAATACTCTTCTTATCTCTGGGCTAGGGTACTCCAGTGCCAGCTGCTTGAACTTGACCGCATCCAGCGAAGAGCGGATCGAATCGTCGGCGACCGAGTTCTTTTTAATCGGCTCGATTTACTAGCGATGCGAAGGGATGTTGCATCTCTTTGCATTTTCTACTGCATCTACCATGGGTAGTACTCTGGGAAATCGTTAGGAATAATTTGAGCCGCCAAATTACATGAACACATATCTTGACAAAACTTACGATACCATCCACACCATCTAGAATCTAGATCCACCACTGTGTGTTTTACTAGGAGTTTTCTTCCTCGTAAAACCTCTTTAGAATAAAATAGAATCGTTTATCACCTGCGATTTTTCCGGACCGATACGACTTAGTGACTTTCAATAAATCGGTAATGCACCTAAAACTCCTCTGGTGTTGCAGTTGTTCATGGGCGGTGGTAGTCATTTACCATCAGATGAGCTGCATACTTATTTGCCAGCTTTTTTATAAAAAAAGTAAATTTTAGGGTGCTAGTAAACAAACAGAAAAAAAATTGTCTATTGTTTGGTTAATTTTGTGTGGTGATAATCAATTCACACATTTTAATCTATATTGACTAAAAAATATTCTATTTTATTCTATTCTATACTGCTTCATCATGATATTACATCCGTGCACCTAGCGCTGAGAAAGTTGACTTATTTGACTTATTTGAGTCCCTACTGAAATCCCCACTATTGATAATTATGTTTGTATAAAAGTAACCACCTACTGGCCCCTAAACGTTATGGGGGGCAACAGAGCACACGGCTGTACATATGTTTTGTCAACCAGTGCACTTCTTGATGGATTTAACACCTTCCAAAATTTAATATTTTATAACAGTATGAAATTTTTCTATAGACATTAGAGTATCGAATAAGGTGAATGCAAGGAAAATCTTGCGACCTCCAACAAATACCTAGACCGGTAACGATATCAATCTACTTATAAATTGAAACGATTTTGACAAACTGTAAATACTAATAAGAAAGTACAGCAGTGATTCCAGTTTGGTTTAGTTTTATTGACGGCCATGAAGAATATTGTATAGATAATATCAAAAACGGGCGTCAAAGACAATCGTTACAAAAACTTATGCAACAGATATTTTAGTGTAAATATACAATTTAGATATTAAGTACGTAAAACAGAATTTAGGATAAAAACAGCATGGCCTCCAGACAATTAATAACCGTTTAATTGTCTGAAGGCCATGCTGTTTTTATCCTAAATTGTGTTTTAATATGTAAAGATCTATTGCACAATTATAAACTAGATAATTTTGTAACGTTTGTCTTTATTATTATATTATTGTTCACAAAAATATTTAATCACTGTGGGAAGTCAATTCAGTTCGAAGATTGTATCATAAGCAAAAAAATAACAAATCACAGTAATACATATTAAAAATATTTAATAATATGAATCAAATTTTGCGTTTTGTAAGTTGTTGTAACAATGAAAAGAAAGAGAAGAAGCACAAGAAAGGATGGGGTCACATTATAGCTTACAAAAATTGGTTTCCTTACCAAATACGAGTCGGCGGGTCACACACAAAGTATTAAAATTAAATGGAGGAAAAGTAAATAGCCGCTACATTATGATAAATCCTATTTTATTGGTCACTGTTATTGTTACTATCACAGCCTATCAAAAATCCACTACTAAATATAGACCCCTTCATGGATAATATCTTAGGGAAGGTATTTGCAATAGTTGCCACGCTCGGCAAACGGCTTGACGACCATAGTTTTATTTTTAGTTGTACTGTATCGCCTCTTCTAACTCCGCCACTACACAGTCATTTCTTGTCTACAAGAGGTCACTGTTTACGAGCTGATAAAAACAGAAAAAGTTTTCTGAATATCTTTTTCGATTAATTTTTCGTTATCGACATGCTTGGCTGGCGGATTTGCGATCCTAGTTCCAACCAAATATCTCGCACTTTTGACTTTGCAGCTTAACGTTGCCGATCTGTCGTCATCAAGGATGTCCAGTTACTACTCCAAGCATAGCTTTGTGAAGCGTATATAATAAATAATTTAATAGTATCATAATCAGTGTTTTTAAAAATGAAGAAGCCTTGACTTCAGTAGTTACTAATTTACTTAGAAATTATGTTATCTTTTTAGTTGTTTTTCGAGTTATTTTATTTACTTTAAAGTTTAATTGTTTCACTGTTTTGTTTAAATGAAAACTCTTTATAGTTTTTCGAAATCGGTTTTTTATAAGTTTAATAATATTAATTTATTTATTTTCAATTGGAATTATATATAAGTCGTTGATAAGTTGAGTTTTTTTTAAATATGTTAGCGGTTGTATACATGACACTTCACACGAAACATATAAAAATAATTAATGTCACAGACTTTAATCATATACAGAAGTTTTAATAAATGTAAAGTAATGTATTTAATTCTTTGATATTTAAGAAAAAAAAATAAGCTGCATTAAGAATAAACAGTAAAATGATTCTTAACATACAATTGCAGATAATACAGACAAATAATATAAAATCTACTATTGCCGTAAAGTTTTCAAAATGAAATTTAAATTACAAATAATTATATTTGGTCTATAATTTGTTGTTGTACCTGAAAAATATAATAAATCCGTCACAATGCAAAAAACGAACTTTATCAGCGTAAATAAAAAAAATATAGAATTAGGTGTTACTGTGCCGAAACACATCATGTTAAAGGAAGGAGAAAATTTATATGAAGGGGGAAATGATGGCCCTTGAGCCACCCTAAAGCCGAGTATATCATAATAATATAAAATATAATATTGAGGGGATTGAACTTTTTAATAAAAAAATAATATAAGTCAAAAGTAGCTAAAAATGGTATTGACCAACGTCCTTAGTCAAAACTAGTTAAAGCAAACTCTTAAATATTACTAGATTTTGCTCGTAGTGTGTTCCTAGTAAGACAGTTATCAACCACTTTCATATAACTTTATTATGGTATATAGTTATATTCCTATCACTAGATCACGACTTTAACCATATTTATATTATATTAACAGCGACATATATGTACGTAAAGACCTCTTTCCGTCGACATTTTATCAAAATTATTTTTATATGATAATAAAAAAAACAATACTTACAGACGTGCACTCTCTCAGACTACTCCAGTAACTACTAACTAATAAGACTGTTGTTAAGATTGTAATTGTTGATATATTTTAGAACGTAAAGACAGGTTTACGTGGTAGAGCCATAATGCAAGTATATTATAGTTGTAGCACAAATGAGTCGGCTTGACCGGAGTAGGACCACGCTCTCACAGAATACCAACATAAAATAGCAGCTCCATGCTGCTGTGTTTGGTATGGTGAATGTAGAGAACCGGAGACCCTTTTTGAATTACTAATTCTGTGGAGTCTGGTTACTGGTTACTCTAATCCAGAATCCCGAGACTTTTCAGCAGGAGTTACGTAACCGCTTTCAGTGCCTAGAAGATTGCAATGCAGTGGACGATATGAATGACAAGCTCGTGGAAACTGTCCATGCGGTCGGAGCCAAGTTCTGCAAGACCCGCCGCAGAAGAACACAAAAAACTCTCCGATCACACTCTTAATCTCATGGCTGTTAGACGGGAGATGAGGCTGCAATCGTCAACAGATTTGACAGCATACAGGCAACTGAACAGACAGATCTCCAAATGCATGCGGCGAGACTTACGCAACTTTAATACTGCTCATATTAAAGAAGCGATCGAGCGGAACCAGGGCTTCAAAGTCTTTGCCAGAGATCTGTCTGCCAGAAAGAGCCAACTGTCAAAGCTGAAGACTGAGTGTGGCAGCATCGTTTCCGAGACACCTGAGATTTTGAGTGAGATTGAGAGGTTCTATGGGCAGCTGTACACATCATCGTTGGAGCCACACG